AAGCGTTGGCCTGCGGACTCAAGGGTCCCAGGTTCGATTCCGGTCAAGGGCATGTACCTTGGTTGCGGGCACATCCCCAGTGGGGAGGGTGCAGGAGGCAGCTGATCGATGTTTCTAACTCTCTATCCCTCTCCCTTCCTCTCTATAAAAAATCAATAAAATATATTTTAAAAATAAAATAAAAAGCAACAATAGCCCTAGCTGGCTTGGTTCAGTGGATAAAGCATCAGCCTGCAGACTAAAGAGTCCCAGGTTTGATTCTGGTCAAGGGCACGTACCTCGGTTACAGGCTCAGGTCGGGGTGCGTGTGGGAGGCAACCAATTGATGTGTCTCTTTCACATCGATGTTTCTCTCTCTGTGTCTCTCCCCCTCCTGCTCTCTCTAAAAAATAAAATTTTTTTTTAAATCAATGGAAAAATATTCTTAAATGAGGATTAATAACAACAACAAATAGGATACTGGAAACCTATATAATTTTATTAATGAATGTCACCTCAATAAATTTAATTTAAAAAAAACTGATAAATATTAGAAAAAATATATAAAATTTGGTACGTTTAATATCATTATGTAATCATTATTTAAAAAGCAATGATAGGGCATTTAAAACCAATATCAAAGTAGGATTGAAAAATAATAGGCAACTACAGAATAAGAAAATTATTTCAATTGGTAATTTTTATACTAGATTTCTCATTAATACACATTCATACCTATACATGATATGTAACATGATATGTAGTATTTTTAGAACAACCAGTGGGATTGAATAAGATACCTTCATTCAATGTGTTTCTATAATTCTCTTCAAAGGAGTCTCCATCCTCTATTGTATATTTAAAATTGACTTTGTTACTTTTATAGTAACTGCACCATTGCAATAAAACATCCTATCTAATTAAAGAGAAACATGGTAATTGGCGTACGACCGCTACCCTTCCCATTGGCTAATCAGGGTGATATGCAAATTTACTGCCAGCCAAGATGGCGGCCAGCAGCCAGGCAGCTTGAAACTAACATGAGGCTTGCTTCCTTCAGTGATGGAGGAAACCAACGTTCCCCGCCTGCCTTGCCGGCCTCTGAGCCTGCAGTTTGAAACATTGTAACAAATATAGAAGCTAAACAAAACCCCAGAAACCTGCTTTCAGCGAGCCGGGATCTCAGAGCTGGAGTTATACATTGTTTCGATTATAGAACCGAAACAAACCAGATACCTGCTTTCAGGAGCGGAGGCCTAAGAGCTGGAGCCTCAGAGCTAAAGCTGGCCCAGAATAAAAAAGAAAAAGAAAAAAAGGACCGGTTGGGAGCTTCCGTCACCCGCCAGCCTGAAAACAGCCCTCAGCCCCTCACCCAGACTGGCCAGGCACCCCAGTGGGGACCCCCACCCTGAAGTGTATGTGACCAGCTGCAAACAGCCATCATCCCTTCACCCAGGCTGGCCAGGCACCCCAGTGGGGAACCCCACCCTGAAGGGTGTGTGACCAGCTGCAAACAGCCATCATCCCCTCACCCAGGCTGGCCAGGCACCCCAGTGGGGACCCCCACCCTGATCCAGGACACCCTTCAGGGCAAACCAGCCAGCCCCCAGACGTGCACCAGGCCTCTATCCTATATAGTAAAAGGGTAATATGCCTCCCAGCACCGGGATCAGCGGAGCCATGAGGCCTCCCGGCACCGGGATCAGCGTGACGGGGCAGCGCCCAAACCCCCTGATCGCCCTGCGGCTCTGTGTGTGACAGGGGGTGGGGCCACAACCTCCCTATCCACCCTGCTCTGTTCATGACAGGGGAAGGCCCACCAACCCCCTGATCAGCCCTGCTCTGTGCCTGATAGGGGGGAGCTCCCCCAACCCCCGATCACCCTGCAGCTCTGTGTGTGACAGGGTGCGGCGCCCCAACCCCCGGATCGGCCCTGCTCTGTTGTGTGACAGGGTGCGGCACCCCAACCCCCCCCCCCCCCAAAGGGGCCCTGCTCTGTGTGTGACGGGGTAGAGCCATAACCTCCCCATCGGCCCTGCCCTGATTGTGACAGTGGCGGCGCCCCAACCCCATGAACGGCCCTGCTCTGTGAGTGATAGAGGACGACGCCCCAACCGCCCCCCACGGGCCCTGCTCTGTGTGTGACGGGGTAGAGCCATAACCTCCCCATCGGCCCTGCCCTGAGTGTGACAGGGTGCAGCACCCCAACCCCCTGATCCGCCCTGCTCTGTGAGTGACAGGGGGCTGTGCCCCAACTCCCCTATTGGCCCTACTGTGAGTGACAGGGGGGAGCTCCCCAATCCCCTGATCGGCCCTGCTCTGTGCGTGACACGGGGAGCTCCCCAACCCCCTGATGGTCCCTGCTCTGTGCGTGACAGGGGGGAGCTCCCCAATCCCCTGATCGACCCTGCTCTGTGCGTGACAGGGTACGGAGCCCCAACCCCCCTGATGGGCCCTGCTCTTTGAGTGACAGGGGGCAGCGCCCCAACCCCCTGATTGGCCCTGCTCTGTGCGTGACAAGAGGTGGTGCCGCAACCTCCCCATCGACCCTGCCTTGATTGTGACAGGGGGCGGTGCCCCAACCTCCCAATCAGCCCTACCCTGAGCGTGACTGAGGGTGGCATCGCAACCTCCCAATCCGCCCTGCTCTGTGCATGACAGGGGGCGGTGCCCCAACTCCCCAATCGGTTGTTATCTCCCGAGGGGTCCCAGAGTGCGAAAGGGCACAGGCCGGGCTGAGGGAACCCCGTTCCCCCCGAGTGCACAAATTTTTGTGCACCGGGCCTCTAGTCCTATCTAATAAAAGAGAAACATGGTAATTGGTGTACGACCACTACCCTTCCCATTGGCTAATCAGGGTGATATGCAAATTAACTGTCAGCCAAGATGGCGGCCGGCAGCCAGGCAGCTTGAAACTAACATGAGGCTTGCTTGCTTCAGTGACGGAGGACTCCAACGTTCCCCGCCTGCTGCTGCAGGCCTCTGAGCTGGCAGTTTGAAACATAGTTACAAAAATAGAAGCTAAACAAAACCCCAGAAACCAGCTTTCAGCTAGCCGGGATCTCAGACCTGGAGTTGATACAGAGTTTCGATTGTAGAACCTAAACAAACCAGATACCTGCTTTCAGGAGCAGAGGCCTAAGAGCTGGAGCCTCAGAGCTAAAGCTGGCTCAGAATAAAAAAAAAAAAAAAAAAAAAAGAAAAAAAGGAGCAGTTGGGAGCTTCAGTCCCAGCCTGAAAACAGCCCTCAGCCCCTCACCCAGACTGGCCAGGCACCCCAGTGGGGACCCCAACCTTGATCCGGGACACCCTTCAGGGCAAACCAGCCGGCCCCCACCCATGCACCAGGCCTCTATTCTATATAGTAAAAGGGTAATATGCCTCCCAGCACTGGGATCAGCGGAGCTGCGAGGTCTCCCGGCACCGGGATCAGCATGACAGGGGGCAGCGCCCAAACCCCCTGATCGCCCTGTGGCTGTGTGTGTGACGGGGCGGGGCCACAACCTCCCTATCGGCCCTGCTCTGTTCCTGACAGGGGAAGGCGCCCCAATCCCCTGATCAGCCCTGCTCTGTGCCTGATAGGTGGGAGCTCCCCAACCTCCTGATCGCCCTGCGGCTCTGTGTGTGACAGGGTGCGGCGCCCCAACCCCCCCACCCCACGGGCCCTGCTCTGTGTGTGACAGGGTAGAGCCATAACCTCCCCATCGGCCCTGCCCTGATTGTGACAGTGGCGGCGCCCCAACCCCCTGATCGGCCCTGCTCTGTGGGTGATAGAGGGTGGCGCCCCAACCCCCCCCACCCCACGGGCCCTGCTCTGTGTGTGATGGGGTAGAGCCATAACCTCCCCATTGGCCCTGCCCTGAGTGTGACAGTGGCAGCACCCCAACCCCCTGATCGGCCCTGCTCTGTGCGTGACAGGGGAGAGCTCCCCAACCCCCTGGTCGGCCCTGCTCTGTGCGTGACACGGGGCGGCGCCCCAACCCCCTGATCGGCCCTGCTCTGTGCATGACGGGGCGGCGCCCCAATTCCCCAGTCGGCCCTGCTCTGAGCCTGACCAGGGGCTGCACCTAGGGATTAGGCCTGCCCTCTGCCACCCGGGAGCAGGCCTAAGCCAGCAGGTTGTTATCTCCCAGGGGTCCCAGACTACGAGAGGGCACAGGCCGGGCTGAGGGACCCCCCTCCCCTCCCCCCCGAGTGCACAAATTTTTGTGCACCGGGCCTCTAGTTTTCAATTAAATGCACAACTTGAAATACAAAGGTTGATAAATTAGTTAGAATTGTGTTAGAGTTTTTTCTTCCAAAAAATTAGGTATAATAGTCATAACTTGATCCAGAAGCTTTGTTGATTATACTATTTAAATTGTGTTTGAACTCTAAATAATTTTTTTACCTTGACTGTTATAAATGTTGGCTAGCCTGTTAGCTACCCATTTCAAATGGAATAATGACACTAAATATTTTTAAATCTAATTATTTATCATGTCTTTTAAAGATAGGGTTCTGCTCTTCTTACCTCCAAGTAGTGGAGAAAATTAAATGGAATAATATGTTTAAAAGTTTATAATGTGCTTATTAAAATCTGTATTAAGAGCATTATTATTAATAACTTAATAACAGTTCTAAAGACCATCCCCTTAAAAAATTAAATCTTAATCATGGGTCAAAATTTTAAGAGAGTCTATAATTATTCATATTTAAAAATTTGAATTCAGAATCTCTTGCCTTGGTTTGCCCCTCAATCAGAAACACTTCAGGAGAAGTTTATTTTGTGACAAAAGTATTTTGTCTTTTGGTTGTTGTATGTTTTGAAAATATGGAGTAAACTTCATTGACTTAAGCATTTCCCAAGCAGACCTTTTCTCTGTTAGGTATGTACTGAGAATGGTTTTTATTTTTATGAGCATAACCTGGCCTTACATTGTTTAATTGTGTTATGATTTTTAGTTGTGGCACATACGTAAGTGTGAAAATCAGAGCAAAGCATGTAATAGCTTTTTGTGGCTTATGTTTTTCATTTGCAGCCTTCAAGCAAAGCAAAGGTACCTGAAGAGAATTTCTTTGATGTTCCTGCTTTCTTAACTGTCTCGGGACAACTTCACCTAGAAGTGATGTCAGGGTACAGAATTTTCTTTTCGCTTTTCTTTTAATGGACTACTGATTATGGGTTGGGTGGGAGTGAAATAATGCTTCCTTTCCCAATGTTAAAATCTAAAAATTGAAATCACTCCACTTGGATTCACCAAAAGTACATTTGGAATGATATGACAAATGTCATTTTTTTTTTTTTTTAGTAAGTTTTTTCAAAAAAAAAAAAATCATGTTAGTCTAGACTTTTGTTTTTAGTGAAAAATGTAGCACTAGAAATATGAAGTTGTGATTTTTTTAAATTTGACCAATCTTTTTTAAAAATGGTGAAAATTTAAATATAATTAATCATATTATGAAAATAAAGTTATAATTCCCACCCAAACCAGGAAATAGCCCATTTCATTAAAAAAAAAAGGTACTTGAAACAAATAGGAGAAAAATATTTTTAATAATTGGTTTACATAAGGAAATTAACCCACAAAACCATTATGAGAGACATGTGACAAATTAGTCTTAGAAGGGCAGGTCATATTAATTTTAGCGATTCTCAAATCTCTGGAAAATCACTATACTCCTTTTGGCCCAACTTTCCTTTTCCTTAAAACGGAATTGGACAGAAAGATTTTTAAAGTTCTATCTAAGTCTTATATTCTGTGATTCTGTGAGTAATTTCTTAATGCCGATTCAACAAGTACTGGGTTTCTTTTATATATCTTTGTTTTCTCATATAGAGCTTGAGGCTCAAAAACATCTTGAAGAGCCTGGCCAGTGTGGTTCAGTGGTTGAACATCAACCATTGAATCAAGAGGTCACGGTTCGATTCCAGGTCAGGGCACATGCCGGGTTTCAGGCACAATCGCCAGTAGGGAGCGTGTAGGAGGCAGCTGGTCAATGATTCTCTCTTATTGATGTTTCTAACCCTCTCTCCTCTCTGAAATCAATAAAAACATATTTTAAAAAAAAAAATCTCTTGAAGCCCTAGTTGGTTTGGTTCAGTGGATAGAGCCTTGGTCTGCAGACTGAAGAAATGGCTCCAGTGAAAGCAAGGGACTCTTTATGTGTTTCCCATTGTTCTTAAAATGTACAAGTGGGGAAACTTGGGGGATATATAATAGAATAGTGTTCATGTTTATCTTGTTACATACTTTATTGTCAGGATGGAAAGTGGTGGAATAAAGATGATCTTAAAAATAACATGTACTTTACTTAGATTCTTTTCTGATTTATCTTTGAGGCAGAAACAATTCAAATAATCAAATAATAGACAATATTATTAGAATACTGTACAGAAAAACTATCATCATATGGCCCCATGAGATTATAGGATCTGCAGAGCTGTATGTGGGAAAGGCCTTGTCAGGAATGTCATGGAAAGTAACTTAACACCTGTCAAAGTGTAATTTTTTGAAATTTTAATTTTTTAAATTTTATTTTCATTACCACCACCCTCTTTAGCAACCATCAGCCAAAATATAAAGAACATCTATAAGTCTGATTCTGTTTTGTTTATTTGTTTTGTGTTTTATTTAGATTCCACGTGAAAGTGAAATCATACAATATTTGTCTTTCTCATTTTGACTTATTTCACTTACAAGCATAGTATCCTCTAGGTTTGTCCATGTTGTCCTAAAAGGCAATATTTCATTCTTTTTTATTGCTGAGTAATATTTCATTGTGTACATTAATAGTATATACCACCTCTTGTTTATCCATTCATCTCTGGATGGACAGCTATGTTGCTTCTATATCTTGGCTATTACTAGTAATGCTGCAGTGAACATAGGGGTGCAAATATCTTTTCAAATTAGTGTTTTGTTTTCTTTGGATAAATACCCATCTGTGTAATTGCTGGGTCTAATGACAGGTCTGTTTTTAATTTTTCAAGGAATGTCCATACTGTTTTCCATAGTAGCTGCACTAATTTACAGCCCCACCGACAGTGTCTAAGGGTTCCCTTTCTAACAATTGTTGCTTGTTGATTTATTGATGATAGCCATTCTGACAGATGTGAGGTTATATCTCATTGTGGTTTTAGTTTGCATTTCTTGATGACTAGTGATGTTGAGCATCTTTTCATATCTGTTGGTCATCTGTATCTTCTCTTTGGAGAAATGTCTGTTCAGTTCCTCTGCCTTTTTTTAATCAGATCATCTCATTTTTATTGTTGCTTTGGGCGTGGATTCTTTTGTGTGTGTTAGCTGTATGAGTTCTTTATATATTTTGGATATTAACTGCTCATCAGATGTATCATTGGTGAATATCTTCTCCCATTTAGTAGGATGTTTTTTTGTTTTGTTGATGGTTTCTTTCACTGTGCAGAATCTTTTTAGTTTGATGTAGTCCCATTTGTTTATTTTTCTTTTGTTTTCTCTGCTCAAGAAGACATATCCAAAAAGTTATTGCTAAGAGTGATGTCAGAGGGTTTACTGCCTGTGTTTTCTTTCAGGAGTTTTGTGGTTTCAGATTTCACATTAAAGTCTTTATTTTGAGTTTATTTTTCTATGTCAAAAAAGTGGTCCAATTTCATTTTTTTCATGTATCTGTCCAGTTTTCCCAGCATCACTTATTGAAAATACTGTCTTTACTTGATTATTTATCCTTGCCTCCAGTAATTGACCATTTTCTTATGCCTGCCAAATTATACTTTTAAAAAATAAAATAGGACTCATCTAAAATAATGAAAGCATAATATGCTGATTAGACTGGACGTCCTTCTGGACATCCTTCCAGATGAAGCTGGGCTGCAAGGGAAGCCCGGGTCCCGGGTGCCAGCCAGCGGCCGGAGGGAAGCCCAGGTCCCGGGTGCCAGAGTGAAGTTGGTGCTGGCAGCCAGGGGAAGGAAGGCCTGCCTACTCTTGCATGAATTTCGTGCATTGGGCCTCTAGTATAAATACAAAGTTAATATGTATCAAATGTTTTATTCAATTCATTAATTACTGAGGAAAACAGTAAAATAGTAAAGCTAGTTCAAAGAGCACTTGAAGAGTTGTGTATTCATAGATAATTTAATGAAGGAATTTTTAAAATAAGATTGCCTGGTTAGTTACAAACTGGCTAATATCCCACAGACCAATAAACCCTGACCTTTGGAAGTTTGTCTTATACCTGACAGAAATGATTTACAACTTTACTGGACAAAATCTATAAGTTAACTTAAAACTTTAGTTAATATGGATATTTAATTCAATCTATATATATAAAAGCCTAAGCGGCAGTTATGGCGGACTGACTGGTCAGCCAGTCACTGTGATGCACACTGACCACCAGGAGGCAGACGTTCAATGCAGGAGCTGCCCCCTGGTGGTCAGTGTGCTCCCACCGCCAACCTCCCACAGCCCCACTCCTCCCCACCCCCTGCTGTTCCTCTCCCCTGCCAGCCAGCCCCACCTGCCCCCCGATAGGCCACAATCAATGGCCAGGCCAAGGGACCCCACCCATGCACAAATTTGTGCACCAGGCCTCTAGTCCTATCTAATAAAGAGGGAATATGCTAATTGACTGCCACACCCTCAAAGATGGCAGCCCCCACAGCCACAAGATGGTGGCTCCCAGTCCCCTCAGCCCTGCCAGGGTGGCAGGCACATGGCAAGGCCGGGCCCGCCCATAGGCAGGCCCGGCCTTGCCGCACGCCTACCTCTGGAGTCCCCCAGTCCCCTCAGCCCCTGAGCCACCCAGGGCCGACCCAAGGCACAGGTAACCAGGGCTGGCTGAGGCTTACGCTGCCATCAGTGGCAGCAGCAGAGGTGTGATGGGGGTGTCGCCTTTCCCTGATTGCCGGGTCACTTCCCACCCCTGAGGGCTCCTGGACTGTGAGAGGGGGCAGGCCGGGCTGAGGGACCCCCCCCCTCCAGTGCATGAATTTTCATGCGCCAGGCCTCTAGTAGTAAATAAAATAATTGAGCAAAGTACTTTCCCCTAAGTAATTAAATAACCTCTGAGTGGGTCTGTGTCCCATTGAAAGGACACGCTGTGCACCTTTTGGCCTTATACCCAAGTTTTGGATAACCTTTCTTAACAGCCTCTTGGTATTCATTTGTTTTATCTATAGAGTTAGAGCAAAGTATCTTCCCCTCAGAAATGTCATATACATGAAAGGTGTACATTTACGAAACATTGGTTTCTCTATTATAATATCACTAGTGGATTAAATATGTTCCCTCTTTCCCAGTAAAGTGTAGTGAACCGTAGAACACAGTGTACAGTGAAACTTGACAGAAGGTTAAATTGGCAGAATGAGGTTTTGTATTTTTTAATGTATTATGGACTATTTCTAATAATGTCAGTCAAATGTTCCTAGTTTAATATGCATAGTTCTAGGACTATTAATATACAGTACATCATGTCTCAGATTAATGCATGATTTAGTCTCCAATAAGAAATTGTTAGTTTTATTTCCCTCAGCTTTGTTTTTAAATTTTATTTAACAGACTTTTAAAATGGAATAAATGGTAGTTAAATTTAGAAGGTTAACATTTTCCAAAAGGATATCTATGTCGGTTTAGTGGGTTTATGGCTCCATTTTAAAGGTTAATTTTGTTGTTTTTAAATAAGAATTTCTATTTTTGAACAATTTTTAAATATAGGAAAGTTGCAAAGATAGTGCAGACTTTTTTTATACCTCTCACCCAGTTTCCCCCATTGGTAACCTCTTATATTACCAGAGTGCATTTGACAAAACTGAGAATCCAGTGTTAGTACATTACTGTTAACTAATCTGTAATTCACCAATTTCCCATCAATACCTTTTTTCATTTCCAGAATCCAATTCTGGGTCCCACATCACATTTAGTTGTCACGTTTCCCCCCTCTCTTCTAGTTTGTAACAGTTTCTAAATCATGACTTGCTCAATAAAGAAACTCAAAATTAAAACTACATATGGACCCTGGCAGTAAACTGAGGGTTAATGATGATTCAACCAAACAACAATCTACTGTACAGCCATTAAAACTGATGATAAAACTTTACATCATGTTGTTAAAAGAAGCACAAAAAAAGTGGTTATGAAAAAGAAAGTAGATGTAATTTCA